GTAAAGAAAAAAAAAGTTCAAAAAGCAAACAAAACTCACAGTATACTTTAGTAATATATTTTTTTGCAATAATATATTTTTGTTCTTTTTTTTTTAAATACACTACTGTTGAAAGGTTTTTAGGTCAGTAAGATGCGTTAAATTGATCAAAAATGACAGTAAAGACATTAATAATGTTACAAAATTTATATTTCAAATAAAAGCTGTTCTTTCGAATTTCCCACTGTCGTTATTCCTCAAAGAATCCTAAAAGAAAAATTATCACAGTCCCCACAAGAATATTAAGTTTCAAATGAAGTTATTAATAATAATTGGTATATAATTAGAGATGTTGCTTGAGCAACAAATGAGCATTTTAGAATGATTTCTGAAGGATCATGTGACGCTGAAGACTGGAGTAATGATGCTGAAAATTCAGCTTTACCATCACAGGAATAAACTGAAAATTGAAACCGGTTATATTAAATTGTATCAATATTTCCCAATATTACTGTTTTCACAGTATTTTTAATCAAATAAATGCAACCATGGTGAGCATAAGAGACGTCTTTCGAAAAACATTACAAATTTTACTAACCCCAAACTTTTGAACGGTAGTGTATAATAACTGAAAATGAATTCATGGCCATGGATTATGCTAAATTAATTACTTATATTTAATATTGTACTATGTACATAGTACTTATTAGATGTGATAGAAAACTATACACATATTTAAAATGTGACACATGATTAACTAAACATTATTTACAATTGACTAATGATTGCATATATTTTAGGATGTTTATAACTATTTTTTATAATTATTTTATAATAATTTTATTTTTTATTATTATTTTCAAATAATTTTTTTTTGTTTTTTAAACACGTTTGTATATATCAAGCCTCATTGTAGTTCATGACAACCATGTCAAATTTTCTTTATGTATTTATTTTGAACAATTTATGCATTTACAATCTTTTAACCTGATTCTAATACAGTCATGCTGTTCACACAGGATGTCTCTCAGAACAGAGGGGACCCAGTGCAGTGGTGTTGCTGTGGAGTTTGACGATGATAATGACAGAGATTCACCTGTGATCAAAGCCAGGAATATACCACGTATGTTTCTTTACTTGAATCTAACTATTTATATTGGGCAGGTTTAATACTTCAAACTAGTCAAATACAGTTGGTACGGAAAGTATTCAGACCCCCTTAAATTTTTCACTTTTTGTTATATTGCAGCCATTTGCTAAAATCATTTAAGTTAATTTTTTTTCCTCAATGTACACACAGCACCCCATATTGACAGAAAAACACAGAATTGTTGACATTTTTGCAGATTTATTAAAAAAGAAAAACTGAAATATCACATGGTCCTAAGTATTCAGACCCTTTGCTCAGTATTTAGTAGAAGCACCCTTTTGATCGAATACAGCGCCTGGGAATCAATTTATGATGCAAAATGGTGAAGAAATCTTTCATATTTTGTACAGTTTAATCAGGTCAATCAAATTTGTAATCTTGATCATGTGGCAGTCAGATGTTCTTGGTTCTGTTGAAGCTCAAGATGCTCTCTGGTTCATTTTCAAATCATGATCATCAGGTTTCACACAAAATTCATATTCATTTTCCAAATCAAATTCTCACTCAAATTGTGATTATACATTGTAAAGAAAAAAAAAGTTCAAAAAGCAAACAAAACTCACAGTATACTTTAGTAATATATTTTTTTGCAATAATATATTTTTGTTCTTTTTTTTTAAATACACTACTGTTGAAAGGTTTTTAGGTCAGTAAGATGCGTTAAATTGATCAAAAATGACAGTAAAGACATTAATAATGTTACAAAATTTATATTTCAAATAAAAGCTGTTCTTTCGAATTTCCCACTTTCGTTATTCCTCAAAGAATCCTAAAAGAAAAATGATCACAGTCCCCACAAGAATATTAAGTTTCAAATGAAGTTATTAATAATAATTGGTATATAATTAGAGATGTTGCTTGAGCAACAAATGAGCATTTTAGAATGATTTCTGAAGGATCATGTGACGCTGAAGACTGGAGTAATGATGCTGAAAATTCAGCTTTACCATCAAAGGAATAAACTGAAAATTGAAACCGTTATATTAAATTGTATCAATATTTCCCAATATTACAGTTTTCACAGTATTTTTAATCAAATAAATGCAACCATGGTGAGCATAAGAGACGTCTTTCGAAAAACATTACAAATTTTACTAACCCCAAACTTTTGAACGGTAGTGTATAATAACTGAAAATGAATTCATGGCCATGGATTATGCTAAATTAATTATTTATATTTAATATTGTACTATGTACATAGTACTTATTAGATGTGATAGAAAACTATACACATATTTAAAATGTGACACATGATTAACTAAACATTATTTACAATTGACTAATGATTGCATATATTTTAGGATGTTTATAACTATTTTTAATAATTATTTTATAATAATTTTATTTTTTATTATTATTTTCAAATAATTTTTTTTTGTTTTTTAAACACGTTTGTATATATCAAGCCTCATTGTAGTTCATGACAACCATGTCAAATTTTCTTTATGTATTTATTTTGAACAATTT